AGCTAAGTGATACAATGATTGACTGTGCACATACAATCCTTTAGACATCAACTGCTGATGAACTCTGAGACTCAGTGTGGATCTAGCTACACCTAGACTCCTCTCTGAGATGAATTTAGAGAGCAAGGGGGTCCTTTCTGAACCTCATGACTCAGTGGGAGGGTCTCCCTAATAGTTTTGTCTGACCCTGTCCTCTATGTAGTAAACACTCAAGCGTACCTTGCCATCAAACCCTGTTAAACCACTGTTGCATTTACTATCAATCTTCGTTAAATCAGTGTTTTATATCAATAAACATATTGCTACTTCTTTCTTATGAGTGAAGTGTGTCACTGTATCCACAACAGTCCACTTCGCAGTGTGGATCAGCCTGTAGTGAAATAATACAGCGTTAGGTGAAACAATATGTATAGGTGTGTCCCATGCAGCCACCCAAGGAAACAGACATAACAGAATTGTATTTATTAGCAGATTAGTCTCTTTTCTTCATAATAATGGAAATAGCCTGGAAGTGTGAAAGAAGACAGAAGCCTCATTGACTTGATCTCCTATGAGAGCCATGCAGCAGATTTGCACTGCTCCTCAGCATTCCACAGAGACATTTTAATTCATGAGTTTGAATGGTTTCACAATGCAAATGTTGAGCTCCAAAATGAGCAAAGTGAAACAAGTAGTAAGGACCTGCAGCATCAGCAATCAAAAACGTAACTGACACTGGAACTGTGTTGGTACATTAAGAAACACAGAGAGAGTTGAGCATCAGCTCTGCTGAGAGCCACATGACAGCATACCATGCTTAGCTTTCATTACTGGCTGCACTGCCAATTTATTATTTGTTGACAAACATTGTTTTCAGAACTCAGGCACTGCTCCTCAGACAACACTCAATTTTGTTGCCTTTCTATAATAAGGAGGTTTTAACACATCAGAAACCAGTCTAAAAGCAGTCAGAATGGATCAGCAGAAAGAAGCTGATGAGCTCAGCTTGGGTTTCTACTTTGCACTGGCTGTAGCAATGGTGCTCAGAGCATCACGCAATTTCTTAGAGCTTTTGTGCAGGCGAGAGAAGGTACCAGAAGCAGCACAAGGTAACTATTACAGCTAATGCACTACTAATGAAGAAGAAGACCTCTAGAGTGAGATACAGAAATTGATCCAAGCCAAACATTTTGAATCCAAATTGCTCCAAATGTTATACAGGTTTTGTTCACACTCAGTGGTTTGGGAACTGTTTGCCCCTAGACTGCTAATATTAGGAAACTAAATAATCAAGAAGAAACTGGTCTGTGATGAATTTTGTGCAGCTGCCCATGGGTAGACACTGCTCATACATGTGAAACAAACAGACTGAACAGGGAAACAAGACCTTGGAAATACATAAAGCATTGTTTCCTTTCATGAGGTTCTTCTTTTTCCAAAGGTGTATGAGTAGATACATACTAATGATCCTCCACTCCATCACAGTAGAGCTTCAGTGGATTTCAGAGGATTTGAAATTTGGGATGATATGAATAATTGTGGTGGTCAGCAAAATCCCAGTAGGACACAACAGGTGTAGCAGAGATGAGAATACATCTGACATATCCTAAAGCACATTCTGGTCTGTACAGTTATCAAAACTCCACAGCTAAAGCTGAAACAGTCTTAAATGCACAAACTATTGTGTGCATTTATGCTTTTATTATTTGTTCAGCTTAGAACATAGCACAAGGCACAAGAACTACGAGGTATCAGATATACCTCATATCCTGCCCTGGCAACTTGTCACTATTTCCTCCAGCTGAACAGTGGTCTCAAGCATACAGTTGACCTGCAGAACTGCTGTCCTCATCTACCAATAGTGTGATATGCAGAAGAGAAAAACAACATGACTTTTCCTATTTGCCATCTCATAGCTGATGGGTGTGCGGGGGGGGGAAGCAACCCCCATCTCCAACCCAAAGACACTGAGAAGCTTATGTGGTAACACTAAGAGCCAGCAAAAGCAGCAGCATTGTTACTAATACTGCCCTCAGGCTCTCCTAGGACCATCTTCTCCTTCCCCTCTTAAAGCTGTAGTCATGTTTTATGCAGCTTCCTGCATTTCTCCTATATGATCTGAAGCAGAATACATTGAACATGCTACAGTTTACAACATCCACGTTACCTGCAAGCATGCAAAAAAGCCTGCTTTATACATTCACTATGTGCCTTGCATGGAGAAGGACAAAACTGGACAGTAAAAGAGGGGTTTTTTGTTCAATATTTGTAAGACACTGACTCTCAAACATTATCTTTCAAAGCTGGGGATGCAGAGCACCATAAACCAACATTCTGTCTAGGTCTGATTTGATGTGAGCAAGTGACAGAATAACTAATACATGTGGGCAGAGCCAGAGTCTAAAACGCTAGCTTGACCATTTCTGCACAACATTGACTTTTTATTATGCATATATCCAAAGTTGGGTCTAATGGCCATAACCATGAGCCTTGATCCCAGAACATGAGACTTGCCCCCATGTTCTATTTGCTACTTGAGAAGGCTTTTCTCCATAGAACCTGTCTGTTTATCTAATCTATGCTACTGCAAACACAATTCACAGACCAAATTCAAACAACTGACAATAGGACAAGACAAGCATCAAGAATTTCAGATGTCTTTAACATGACATTGAACATTTTTCACCACCAACAGCTCTTTCAAATTTTCCATGTATCAGAGCAATACAAGACAAAGCAAATAGGTATGAAAGTCCCCCAGTATTAAGAGACTGATGAGATTCATCTCCCTCTTTGCTACCTGTCTCACCTAAGGAGGAGGAATATGGGATATAGCCCTGTCTGTCCCACCACTGTTCTTAGCATCAAAACAGACAGTGATGAGAGGAAAACTAGAGCAGACGTTCCTTTTTGATATTTAAATCCACAAAATACAGGAAGAAGCAGGTGAATGGAATGGAAATTGCATTGTCCATTGTCTTGTACACCGTCTTGTGTTCTGTGGCTCACATGTGAACAGCTGGTGTAAAGGCTTTCCAGAGGTGACAGGAATGTCCACACCAATACATTATCCCTGTTGTGAGACAGGAAAAAAATCAGGCTCTGGACCTGTCAGACCCTACTTCCTCTGTGGCATTTTAAATGAAACAATTTTTCACTCTCTGAGTCCTTGTAAACAAGTTTTATAGTGCTTTCAACATGAGTCTATCACATGTTGCTGCAGAATTGCAAGTGTTTAGGATTTAAACCCTTTACTCAGAAGATGAGGCTGGAAGAGCAAGTAAAGGCTTTATCTTTAAAAGCTTTCAGAAGCTTCCAAAACAAAGCTTTTGCATTTATCAGCACAAGCTGCCATAAGACACCTGGTGAACAAACTGCTTACTCAAATGAGAAAAGCTCAAATGAAAAATAAATACAGAGCTTTAAAGTTCTCTCATCCATCTTTCCATCTATTTATTTCCTCTGTGCATAACTGGAAACACTTCAGGCACAGACCTGTCTTCATGTCTGCACTTAGCATCTAATCCAAAGTACACTGCCATCGATACACAGCCTTTTGTACTTCTACAAATTTAGATTAGATCTTACATAAATACCTGTATATTGAGAAACTCCTGGCAAAATATTTGGAAGCTTTGACTCTCTGAACTTTGCACAATTAGTGCGCAATAATCCTACCTGCTACCAGTGAGCTAGTTTTCCCACCTCTCTCACTGCCTTCCTGTCTATATATGTGCCATAGAAGTGTCCCTGTGAAACTCCTTGCAGAGGAAAGAGGCAGTGACTGTAGGTTCAGAGGATTTCAGGGCTCGGCGTGAAGCATGGAATAATGCATCTCCAGCCAAAGTCCAGGAACCAGTTCATTGATGTGTGGTTTTACAGCATGCAAACCTAGATAGAATCTGTCCTGCTGAATATTTGAGAGCTTCTCATCTGAACTTTATTTATGTAATTATAATATTGTATTGGAAAATCCAGTAAGAATTTTGAACTCCATACCCAAGTACTGGAAATGTCTGGGCAAGACTGGGAGGCAAATGTCTTTTTCTGTAGTTAGCTTCTCGGACACTGAATGGGGATGCGAAATCGAACTGGCTGCCAAACTGCAGTTTGTGTCCACGTCTTGCAATTCTACGAGAAGTGAATCAAGGTAAGCATCAAGGGCACAAACTCAACCGCACTAAAATCAATGCAAAAACTGCTGACCTTGAGCAGTCTGATTTGAGGATATTCTGGGAAGAGTGTATTCTTGTTTAGTGAGAAAGAAGCATTCCTAGTGTGACACCTAGTGTCAGCAACAAATACCTTACAGACCCATTAAACTCAACAGAACAAGGAAACAAGTCAACTGTACTGAAAAGTAGCAAAAAATACAACAAAACATTTTAAATATGAACTAACATCTAACATACAGAAAATCCGGGGTGGGGGAGGAGAGTTTGTTTCTATAAATAAATCCAATAAAATACATACTGGTCATCCTCTCTAGTCAAGCCTAACTCAGACCTGATCATTTCTCTGGTCACCTCAGTGTACCTAGCTCTCTGGACTCTGCTTATACAGACAGTCCAGTTTTATGGAGTATTTTGGGTATCATTGTGGGATGCAAACCCATTCCTGCTGGCTTGAAAGAACACAAAAGAAACTACAGTGAAGCAGACTTTACAGGTCAACACACTGACTTGACCTATCGCTGCATTTGTTCTCACTAAACAAATTCAGAAAGAAAGATAATACAGCGATTGTAAGGTGATTTTCAGAATGTTAAATTGTCTTCAAAATCAAGTTAGTGACATCTCAAGAAAGGTGTGGAAAAATGCCTCTGAAATGATTTTTCACATCAGCAGTTCAGGAAAGCCATTAATTCTTAACAGTAATTACAATTGATTATTAACCAAGGTCTGGCACTTTTAGGCCTAGATATACTATAAATATGATTTGTTACCATAATTATGCTGACAGGTTACCTTTTTACCTTACTCTTTCTGCTTTAAGTTCCACAGCTTTACTGATGCTCAGACTCAGGGCATACCAGTCTGAAAATGCGCTTCATCACTGCTGGTGACTTATAACCAATTTGTGGTAAATGCAGGCTAAATACAAAAGGAAGTATAAGTTGTGAGCCAAATTTTTGCAAACTGAAGGCAAATCTTGAAGTCAGGAATGTGGAAGTTGACTGACAGCTGGATTTCCTGACTCAGCAAACTGCAAACTTTTATTCCAAGGAGCAAATTTCTAACTTTTTCTTCACGTAGGAATGATGCTTTGAGCAGGCACAGTGACATTCCCTGCCATCTCCTGGAAATGCCTTGAAGGTTCTCATGCTGGAGGTATTCAGAGCACTGTTGGTAACATACCAAAGTGTTAAACCTACAGGGGAATCACTGATCTAATGCCAGTTCTTTTATAGAACCAAAACTTCCTTCCAAAATAGGAATTTTCTCAAAGCTTCCACTTTTATAAAATAAATTTTCCCACAAAAGATGACTGCAATGACAAGTCCCTGTGTACTTATTCACGTGTTGGCCCAATTGCTGAACAACTGTACAGAAAGCTCTTACAACAGCAAACTTTGACCTATTAATAAAAGTTCTATTGATAAAAGAACCTGTACAAAGCTCATTGCTGTGATTATATTGATCTGACCATTTTATTTTATGTACAAATGTAGTTAGAATGCAGCAAAAGCAGCACTCCCCTACAGTACTGCTAACAAGCATCATACAAAAAGAAAGAAGCAAAATATATATATAATTTGTAAGTTGCATACATTAAATGCATATATATATGAAAGTGGATATTTTTAGCTTCCTCATCATCAGGTCATTATTTCCTCATTAGCTGACTAAGTTCTTGTAGGGATCACGATTTAAAAAGGCCTGGAGGAGTAAGTTCAAGGAAGCTGTTCTGGACACGAAAGTCAAGGCTGCTATTAAAAGTCCTAGTACAAAGGAGCCTATGGACATAAAATCTATCTGCCCAATGTATTAAAAATGGCAAGAGCAAAAGAAAATCTCGTGTCCTGGAAACTGCATAGAGCTCATCTCTCTTGCACTAAGGTAAACAGATAGACACCACATGAGACCATGTTACCCTTCTGCTAGGGTCCTTTACCACACAACACCCAGATCCTCCTCATGGATGTGGGTGCCTACAGCTAAGAAGAGCAAACCAAAATCAGGGTGTAAAATGTCCACACCATCTACTGCTGCCAGCCTGTGAGGAGTCCACCAAAATAATAAACCAGCCACAGAATCTATGGCTTTTCAGTATACCTTAGCATGAAATTGTGCTTTCCCTCTGTAGAACCACATGGGTTAGGGAAGCCATGCTGGTTGCGTGTCCCAGGAGTCTTATTTCCAAGGGCTGGAGAGAAGACCAAGAAGGTGGAACAGGTGTTGGGTATCTTCACAAATAATGCTGATCCCCCAACACTGACAGAGCTTTCCATTGCTATATCAAAGTGGGGATGTGAGAACTTTTGCCTCCTTCCCTGCTCTCATCACTTCAGTGTTAAACAGGTACGGAAATTTGTAAAGTAGAGGCATAAAGAGATATATTTTTACTTGTTGCTCCCAACAGGTCTTACTTCAGGAGGCTGTGATTCCAGCCAAAACCTTTTATATAACTGTAAGAGAACCACACATATTTGGTTGTGGAAGTTGATTTTATTTTAAGGCAATTTTAATCGGAAGTGACTTTGAAAAAGAACTCTAAAAATATTTTCAGTAGGTTTAAACTTACCTCTGCATGTGAGGATGCCCAGCAGAAACTCATTATTTCAATTTATCAGGAAACTGCTGGTAATCAATAATGTGTTTTATGCCCATTTACATTTAATGCCCACTTAAACGTACCAGTTACATTTAATGCCCACTGCCTAGGCAGTGTGGAACACATGTGCTCTTTAATTATGGTTACAAGAGATTTATTCTGCTGCAACATTGAGTAATCAGTCATCTGTTACCTTCATGAATTTGAAAGATTTCTACGGCTAGTAATGAAATCACAGAGCAGAAAAATAAGTTTGCAAAAGGGTTTGTATTTTCTCTATAAGTTTGTTATCAAGATTGTGAAAGGTAAATGAATCCTGACTTGAAAATTTTCTCTCAACTAATTCCATAGGTGTCATCTAACAGAGCACAGTCAATGCAGGTTTTGAATGCTTAGATGCAAACCTAAAGCACAAACAGCTCAAATTTCACTTCAAAATCTACTTTACGATAGATAGATAGTATTTAAAACAGAATATTTCTTTTAAGAGGGCTTCTTCTTGGAGAAAACAAGGAGATTCCCAAAAGAAAGGGTTCAGTCATAGAGGGTTTACGTCAGCAATGTGAAGGAGGAAGTTATTTAGAAAGCATACATGCATTGGTAGTGAGTAACCACTTATACTGCTTAGTATATACAATGACACACATCAAACCCCTTACTCATGAACTCAGTCTAACACAGGCTGAGATATTTTCATATTTTTGATATATTTCACTTATTAAAATCAATGCCAAAGCTCTAACCAAATAAAGATGCTGCATCAGGTGCCTAAACCATATGCTTAGTTGTAAGAGCTGTTTAAATCTCCCAAAGCATTCTTTAGAACCCACAGTGTGGGTGCAGAGTTCAGCCCACTGATTGAAATATAAATATTCCTGATATTCTTCCTGATATAAATATTGTCAGGAAGAATTGAATATATATTTTACTTTTCCATATAGGAATTCAGGAAAAGTGTTTATACAAAAACACCATTCTGAGAAATGGCCTAAAAGTTCTGTACTTTCCAAAATTAACTTTTTAACTTTTAAAAGCATTTTAGTTATTCTTTCCAGATACTCCTATTCCCCAAACCTGGTACTCATCATGAACAATTTTGTCCCTTCCTAAACAGATTTTTCCAGTTAATTTACTTTTAAATGGAAACAGTTTTCCAGTTCTATTGGTGTTCTAAACAGGCACCAGTATGACCTTTCAAAATACAGAGGTTGATTCCCAAAAAGTTTGAAGTACAACTTTCAAGAGCAGAGCTCAGAACCTGTAAATAAGAGCTAAGAACTATAACTTTGTCCAGATCACTACAGGAAACATGGCATAAGGCTGACTAATGTCATATGTGTATTGCTTAATAAAAAGATTTTGTTGATTTAATAGTATGGAGTTACTTTAGTACTGCTATCATGTGTTTGTACTTCCTACTTATGACCAAGGATGCTGTCAGCATCCATGATTCAACATAGTTTCCCTCTGAAGGTTCGAATTCTGAGTTTGTGAAATGTTCCTCTGATAGCACTACTTCCTTCTTCCTCAATCTCAGAAAAATCATTTTCTAGAAAACTCTGTGATGCCCCAGGATTAAGAAGAAACAGCTTAAATGGAAATCGGCAAAAACATTAGCATTCTCTAATTTCTTGCTTCCTCAAACACATGGAGTTAAACTGCATACCACTATTCCACACATAAATGTGGAACAGTTCAAGAGGAAAACCTCAAAGGACTTCCAACTGTTTCTTTTCCTGTATGGACCATTTTTGTTGGATGTTTTGGTACATCTGGATTAACATCAGCAGCTTGGTAGTAATAGGATTTTAGTCTATCCCTGCTTGATGAGTCAAATGCTGCTTCTTTTTGCACTGCTGAAACTATGAAACCACCCAACAATTACATTTCCCCAGGACACATCAGAAACTGCCCATCTGGTTTGCTGGTTAACACTGGTGTGTGTCCTGCAACAAGATACTTTAAAAAAAACCTGACTTAAATTCCAATTGTCAATTTGGGCAAGGATACAGTCAGAACTGTTCTGCTCCAGTACTAGTCCCAGGATAGTGTGCCAGATGCATCTACATTACTCTATGGGCAGCAGTCTTTGCTCACCAAAATGCTGTCCAGCTTTTGCTGCATGGCCTGTAATGAATGCTTCAACAGTACTATGTACTTTCTGTCTTTTCTTTCTTTGAGGCAAGGGTGAACAAGTAATTTTTCAGCTGTCAGAGGTAGTCATACAACAGCCATAGAAGAGAGACTTTTTACATATTATGGATCTGTGAAAGGACTATTCACAGTTTAGCCCAAAATAGCTCCATATTGATTACTTGCGATTTTCAAGCTACTATTTAGTACACTAGTTTTGCCCCACTTTTGTACAACCTGTCTCTACCACAAAGATAAGAATACGCAAAACATCTTTAATCCTATACCAGAAGATTAAATCGATCAGGAGCATCCCCCTCAGACTTGTCTCAATGCTAGAGCCAGCCACCTGTCCTTCACAGAAACAATTATTCATAAAAGAAAAATTAAATGGATGCTGACTGAGAGTTTGCTTAAGCTAATGGTGCGATTGGACATTAGTGTAACTAATGGTAATAGGCCCTCTACATAAGTTACGTGTTAATATTGCTCCAGCTGCTTTGGCTTTCCAGAAACCAGTCAGCTAGCTAAGAATTACTTTTCTAGTCTTTCTACAATTAATCTCTGTTGAATGAAATGACAAATGAAAATTATGAGCAGTTCTGAAACTTGGTGGGGGGAAAGGGTATTACTATCTTTGGGTTAAGCACTAAAGGATGCTTATAATCACCTTGTCTGTTTAGAATTCAAATGATCACTTAGCAGCTTCTGAAGACTTACACTTAACATTGCATTCACTTGAAACAAAGGCCTGATATGGCAGTTCTTATTCAGCAAAAGGCCACTGTAACACACAAGTTGTATAATGAACATGGCAAATAAACATGACTATGACCCAAACTCCTTTGCAGTTATTAGCAATGTAAATGCTACAAATAAAACTTGTAATACTATTAAACTACATTGACATTATATTTCTAGTATGTTCACAATCATTTTCTAACAAAGGATTTTGAACCAAAACTGCCTCCTCTTTTTTCACTGCCCTATATATCTGACTGGTATGGGTTCTCAGCACCCCTGAGTTTCATTTTCAAAAAGCCTTTGCCCCCACATCCCTGAGTAAAGACTCCAGGAGTAGAACTACTTTTCAGATATTTAGGGAACAACGATATTTGGTCTAACTCTAGTGATCGTACAGATGAGCAAGAAAAATACTCTGCTTCAAAGATAACATAAACAATTTTCTTCAGGGCTACAGTGTAAATGACTGACAAGTAATGGTGTGAAGTCAGTATCTTTCAAAATAAAAATACTGATTAAAAAAAGCTGAAATAATTAGTGGAACAAATTCCACTGTAGTGTGGAAAAGGTATCTTGTCCCCAAAATGCTCTTACTGAGTGCCTGAGTATAGTCTGATTGCATATACAAGGGAAATTACCTCTGTGTTCAGTATAGTGATTTTGAAAAGACCATTTTATCATCTGCCCAGAAGTATTCATTTGTATTTTATCCCAACTCCCTTCCTTCCTGAAAACAGATGAAAAAGTGGCAAGGGAATTAGGACAGCTCTGGACAGGTTTTTAGATATATAACTAAACACAGAAACAATATTTGATAAACCTGGAGTGTCTTACAAATCTGAAAGTGTTGAGGTTTCCATTTTCCCATCAGTTAGGTGCTGAAAATATAAAAATATTCATGCAAGAATGTAGAGTGGAAAAAACGTTCAATGGTCTTTTATTCAGACATCTTATCATGACACAGATAGTTACATGATATTGCGAATAGGAACAAACCTAAACAGATTTTCTGGTTTCTTTCCATTACTGTTGTGCATGAGGTCTGTTTTGCCTCTAGGTTTACACTGTGAAACCACTTGGGAAAAATTACCCTGTAATTGGTGCAGAGGGTGTTCAGATCAGAACTTCCAACACATTGGCCTGTTTTGCATCATTTTACATAGATGAAAGTGCCAACAAAAATATAACAAAATACAAGGTCTGCAATACACTTGCTATGTTACACCATCACTGGAACATTTCCTGAAGAGAACAGCAGCACAATCACACTGAGCCAAACACAGACTGCCTGGGAAGGCAGAATTGTTTTTAGTGCAACCTACAGCAGTACCTGAAAGTTCAAATTCTCTTGACAGACCAGTATATTTCCCTGCTGCTTCACTGAAAGAGAAATAAGGATAAAAGACAAGTTATATTGTAAAATGCTGAAATTTGAAATCTAGTGTAGAAAAAAAAATTCACTGTGTTTCAAACTAAGAAATAAGGGTAGATACAGAATATGTCCTCCACAATTAAAACGAATGCAGCTCCAAGCTGCCACAGCCATGTGCTAGGAGTGCCCTTACTAGCTAGACCAGTGCAATGTTGCAAATCTCTGCACTACACTGTAGTCACTCTTGCATGTGCAATAGAAGCATAACATGATAAAGACTGGGGAATGATATTAAACTACTTTTGTGCCTTTTTGCTCCTTTTTCTAAGTACTAATGAGAAGAAGAAAGAAAAAGAAAAGAAATAAAAGACTCATTCAGAGGCTGATGAGCAGAACACCTACTCTGCTATACCTGCTGTTCTCCTTTCTCTTCCTTGCAGCAGCCCTGGACAAGGGGAACCCAAATGCCAATTTAAACCAATTTAGATCTAGCTGGCTACACAGGTCATATCTAGAGGAGCACAAAACCTGGCCTTCTATTTGCTGAATTAACCAAGATACAGACTGCGTAGCCGAAGCAGCCCAGAATCAGAACACAATGCCACATCATCTCTTCCCGTGCACCACATAGAGGTTCTGCCCACAAAATCGTAGACATGCTGGGGATAATCACGTATTTAGATACCTATACAACATTGTGCCCAAATGTACCAAGAGACTGATGAGAAGGGCAGATTAAGGCCTCTCAGTATCTAAATGCACTTCCTGTATGTCATGCAGTTCAGGAATAACCAGCTAGTCAAAGTCTACAAAGTCTCACAACTATGCTATTACTCACCTGAAAGGAAGAGAAGACAGAATCACACGATAACTATAAGGATTTCTTTTCTTACTGCCTCAGAATTCATGTTATGATTGCATTACATACAGTAGAAAAATAAGGAATTTTATTCTAGCTAGTTTTCCTGGGGAGGGGGCTGTGCGTCTGCTTCTCTAGAAACACTGCAGTTAATTCACACCTTTAAGGCCCATCTATTGGGTCAAATCCCAAATACTTTTATTTGTTTTATTTAGCTAGCTCCCTGATAGGATGCTTCCATAATTAAACCTTCATCTTGGGCCATCTTCTGCTGAGTAGGACCAACTCCAGCATCCAAATATACATAGACAGTCTCTGAGATTCTTTCAAAACTGTATTGAACTTGACTTACCTCACTGACATTCACCATTTCACTTTAAAAATGGAATGTCCCTGGGACTGGTAAACAAAACTTTCTCCTATGGGAATGGTCAACAGAATATGCTAATGGATTTCCAGGTATTTCAGTAAACAATTAACTCTGTCCTACCCATTGGAGCAAGTTTCAGTTTTGAGTGTCTGATTTCTTCAGCACATGTTTGTGCTGACTGTGACTTTTATTCTTATGTGTAAAGGCTGAAATGTTCAGTTGTGTCTTTGAGCAAAACCTAAAGGGAAGGCAGAGAAAGAGGATGCTCAACTGCAGAGGCCTATGGGAGCAGTTTACAGGGAACTGCCTTGGCAGCAGTTCACAGTAGCCTGAATGCTGAAAAACTGTGCTTTAAAAAAATTGCCTCAGTCCATGTTGAGAAAGCACCAGAATGTAGTAAATGCTTCTATTGATTATGCATTATTAAATCCTGAAAAATAACCCAGCTCTGCATGATATCTAATTTACTTGATTTAGCACGTTAATAATTCTGTCCCCAAGACTGAAGTGAAAACTGCAGCTATTCTTCACTCCAGAATTAGGTGTCTGCAGAGGAATTAATTGTTTTTTCAGATATGTAAATTATTCAAGAATATTAAAAAGCACTGGTTTAAAACTGTTAAACTGCTTCACCATCTCTACTGATGCTAGTCTCTTGGAGACTACTATTTAGGGTCTTGAACAAAAAGTCGGTAGGAGGCACTGGCATCTTAATGATAGTGAGGCCATAATGGATCTTAGAGGAGATGGGTCTTAATGATGCATATTGAAACATTTGTGACACTGATGACCAAGTGTGTGTTATATTGTGTGCGTTTGCACATTTGGCATCCACATTAAAACACAACTGCTGTCATAAAATCTAAAACTTTCAGACTATACTCATGATATCTCTGCAGAGCTGATTTGTCAGATCTGAAGATGACAGTCACACCTTAATATTTTCATATAGTTTATCTTGGTTTGGAGGTATTGTGAGATAATTATGACACCTGTAATTTGTAATTTAAATAGGCTGATTTTTCCTGCAGAATCATCTAAATTGCATCAAGTGATTGATACTCTACTATCAGATAAAATATGTATTACCAAAGAATTAATGACTTACATGTTCAATCCAAAGTTCAGTAACCATATTCTCAAGCAATGCAAACTGAAATCTCTTTTAAGAGAATTCATTTAAACTCCACTTCTGGAAACCAGATTTTTATTTTTTTTTTTTGGTCTCAAATACAGCAAAATAACTTTGGAACAGAAGAGAACTGAGTTCTGTGAACGACTGCTAAAATCTTCCTTTCCGTCATGCTTCACTACTGACCTCTAATGAGCAGTAAGCGCATTGCCTAAATTCTTATCCCTTTATAGAGAAGAAATGTGGTAGTAATGTAAGTTCTTCCTCATAAGGGTTTATCTTTTCAGAGTAAGCTTGCAGGCATTGCTGGGTTATTCTTCCTAAGAAGTTGCTTTTTAGAGGGACATATACTACAACTAGGACATGGTATTTTTAAACTCTGTTTGTTAACTAGTAAAATTTCAAATATACTAGCAGATTAAAGCCAAATTTGAAAACATAGTGCATAACACTCAAAGACCACAGCACTCCTGTAATCAGGCTTGAAAAACTTATGTGAATACAGTAAAACCTGAGTGTTTGTGAGAAGCAGCTGTGTAGTTCAGTGCAAAAATAGTACACTGTTGAAATAGCCTGACACATCTCTCCCTTGGTATGTGCTTGACTGGTCAGGAATTTTCCTCCTGAGGAATGCCAGACACCTGACATTGAAAACCATAGTACATTTGCAAAGTGCTACATAGCCTTCAGATGGTTAAGGTATTTTCAGTTTTAGTATTTATTTTAAATGCATGCCATGGAATCCTAGAAGGATTAGGGTTGGAAGGAGTCTTAAAGATCATCTAGATCCTACCCCCCTGCCATGGGCAGGGATACCTTCCATTAGATCAGGCTGCTCAAAGTCTCATCCAGCCTGGCCTTGAACTCTTCCTGGGATGGGGCAGCCACAGCTTCTCTGGGCAACCTGTGCCAGTGTCTCAGCCCCTACACAGTGAAGAATTTTTCCTAATGTCTTAGCTAAATCTCCCCTCTTTCAGTTTAAAGCCATTCCCCCTTGTCCTGTCACTACATGCCTTTGTAAAAAGTTGCTCTCCAGATTTCTTGTAGGCCACCCTTTTTAGGTACTGGAAGCTGCCATAAAGTCTCCCTGGAGCCTTCTCTTCCCTAGGCTGAAAAAGCCCAACTCTCCCAGCCTGTCTTCACAGGAGAGGTGCTCCAGCCCCCAGTCATCTTTGTGGCTGTTTACCTCTCATCCTAGTTCATAACATAGTTGCTATTGTATAACCTGACAGTCTTGTAAAAATGTATAGGTTAACAGCTCTCAGGTCTTCTAACAGTCTATTAAGGTTATCATATTTTTGAACTATGCAGCTATCTTTACATGGTATTGAAAGAACCTCCATTTAAGGGTAAGAATAAAACAGAAATGTTTCCATGTCCCAGACAACTTACAGTGCTAATTTCTCCAGGACTCCCACATCCTTTCACCCACAGTTCCAGAAGCCAGGAGAGTTTCACTAGCTTTAGTCCTTTATAGTCAGTGTAATACAATTTCCCTCTTTCTAATGACTAAGTAATTAAATCCCCAGGAAATATACCTGAAAATTACTATATTTCCTAAATTGCTGTTTTCATCTGTGTCAAAAATGACATTCCCAGGATTAAGAAATAAAAGTAAAAATAATTACAAAAAAAAAAACCCCAGAAAACATAGAGAAAGTTTTAACAGTTTCAGCTGTCATGGAAAAGGTCAAATGAGGACATAATATTTCCCCAAATACAATGGTAATAATTAGTAGAACAAGAAGCTGTTTTTAAGGCTGGACAGGAGAATACCAGCACAAGTGAATCACAGGGTCAGTTGGGCACTATGAATTTTCAAAGAAAATATTGTGAAATGTGGGTAAAGCTGCACTCCCTCCCAGAGAGCTGTGGCTACAGTCCCTTTGGACCAGCAACACACAACAGTCTTGACCAAAAGCAGATGCTGCATTAAAAGTCATTTTGCAACAGCTAGCACAGAACAGCTCTGCTTGCCCTTTTCTGGAGTAACCAAACACTGTACTGGAGAAAACATTTGTATTCTGGAGTAAGCAATCCTAACAGGGTATTATCTCAGAAGTGCTACTGAGTTTTATTTCACTATGTCACTGCATAATAATTTCTCCCTATTGAGGAGGCCATAGGCAGTTTGAATTTATGCATAGATTGAGGATTGGTAAAAGTTATAGAAAAAGGAGCCAGTTACTTATACTACGGGGAAAAGGACAAACAATACCACAGACACATATTAATGAGCTCTCTGCCTACACAGCAGACACTGAAAAAAGCTGAATCATTCAGCAGGAGCCAGGAGCACTCCTTTCCCTTGGTGCTGTCTGTTCAGGAGAGGTAGAAAGACTTGGACAGAGATTTTTGTCAGACCTATCACTCAAATTAACGCTTCCCAATTAATGCTGCAGTGCTGCACTACACAGCTGCAGCAGTACACCACTGTTACAGTCACAGTGTTATGGTCTCTGTGTTTCAACAACCACACATTACCAACACTTCACCACGGCAGTCATGTTTATAATTTTGGAGCCAACTTTGGGAGCTACCAAGTCTGCAACCTCACTGTACTCAGCAGGAGCTTAAACTACCAAAACCGGAATCACACCTTTCCTGAACCTCAAATTGAGTATTACTTCTGGGTAGAAATCTCTTCAGAGAATCTTCAGGAAGGGTTTTTACTCTGGAATTACTTTTTACTCTGGAATTACTCAGTCTTACTCTGCAATATTTTAGATAGAAAACAAATGAGTGGGTTTATGGAATTGTAATTGCAAATGTGCAGCTTCAAAAATTTGAATTATTTTTCTCCATTAGCAATAAAATCCATAGTCATAGCACAAAACCATCATTGTTAAAATTAAGTAAGTACAAAATCAATAGTAGATTAAAATCAAGTAAGTAGCATGAATTAAAAAGTTAACCCAAAAGAATGTTGGATATGTCCAACATATCTAATAACTAGGACACAAAGAGGATAATAACTTCTAATATATTTCTGAAAATAACAAAATAATAATTTTGCTCCTACTACAAATAACAGCTCTTTATGGAGAAAGATGCAACTTACATTACAGTGTTTTGACATTTTCCTAAAGAGACCATGAAAAACAAAACAGTTAATTCCCCTTTTGTTTTTAGAGACTGTTTAATAGCAATGTAATGTTTTTATGTATTTCTCCAAAACTCCACATTTTGTCAGCAGTAAGGGTGAATATTTATATTAACCAATCCTAAAGGCACTCAATATATTGAAAAAGCTCTTGATCAAGATACTTTTCCCCAAATAAATAACATTTCAACCTTACTCTTTATTAAAACATAAGCAGTACTATGTAGGTGTCCTATAACTTAAACACATGTCAGTTAGAATAAATAGGACTCATTTGTTGCCACAGAGTCAGCAGACTAATTTCACCAGGTAGTGACTTAGGTCTCAGCGAGGTGCTAAAGAGTAGATGAGATGTTGAAATTCCTTGGAGGTAAAAAAAAAAAAAAAATGATAGATTAAACACTGTTTCATATTACATATAGATTTTTATTACACAATGACAAGTGTTAATGCAAACGTGGCTTTGGGATTTCAGTGCCCTGTGAAGAATACATGCAGTCTCCTAAAGTTCTTCGTTACATACACCAGATCTAAGCTCAAACTAACTCATGTTCTTAATTTTGGGAACTGAAACCACTAATCACGTAAAGGAAAGTTCTACCCTAGGACAGAGTTATTGGGTGCAAGCTGGACACTGTCAACAGTCTCCTATGTAGCGAGGTAGTATGCCATTCCCTAGAGAAGCTGTTGCAAAACCCACTTCTGTTCTCAGTCTGTAATAGATACAAGTCTGTCTCCATTTCTGAGGTATGAAAGCTATCTTTTTGGCTCATGCTTTTTCTTTTAGTAGTCTCTAGTACAGGTTCCAAAACACTAGACTAAAGGACTGCCATTGCACAAAACAGAAATAATTCTGGAAGTATTGCTTTGGGAAAAGAGTTAATGTTTAATTAACAGCAGTGACAGAACACTCTTAGGATCAAAAGAAAATGTAAGACATCCTCTAACTTTGAGAGCCAGAAGTGATCACTCAGACTGATAAATACCTTCCTCTACCAGAGCCTCCCCACTGACAGCCCATGGAGGTAACCAGCTCCACTCATCATCATCTCAGGTAAAACCTTCTCCCTTCTGGCAAGAGTCTTTTTCTGATCTTTGAATGTAAGCAGCTCAGATCAAAGTTAGACAAAATGAATCCAAGCCTCCTTCTTTTTCTAATCCCCAGGAAGTCCAAGAATATCTTCCATGTTTCTTAAGAGAGCCATTCTTAAGCAGGAGCTTGAACGTGACAGCATAGCATCTTCAGTAACACCAGAATTCTTCAGGACTCTGCTGTGGGTCAGGTTGTGTACACTAGAACCTGGGCATCAGAGCACTAGCACTAGCAACCTAGCCACTCCTAGCAAAGAAACCATTGTCAAAATCTGGACTGAAGCAAAATGGAAGCCTCTATTAAACATTCATTTGCCCCATTATGATTTTTTTTTCCTACAAAAGCATTATGAATGGCCACAACTGCAAAGAAGAAAAAGTATATCCAGCACAAATGTTCAGTACATGGTAATTTATTCATCTCATTATTTTATTTTGTCTCCCTTAATGTTATGTTCTAACATAAGGATAATTTCTTGAAAGATGAATTATGTAAACAGTGATTTGAAAAATTTCACATCTCTCATTAAATTGCACTTACCCAATTACCCGTTAAAGCGATTCATAATGCAAATACACATTTTTCACATGGCATTCCAAAGCAATGAACTGGAAAACGACACCTTGTCAAAATGGCACATCCATATATGTGTTAATAGTGTTGAAAGACCAAAAAAAAAAAAAAAAAACAAACCAATCCAGACACCCCCCCCCGAAACCTCCACAAAACCAAAACAACCCCCAGAGTAACCCCAGTAGTTTAAACCAGCTTTTGCACTGGTTCAGAATCCAGTAAGGTGTATTCAATTCAACTTTCTCTAGAACAAAGCAATTTTATTCTTTATCAAATGCTGCTAAATCACAAGCCTGAAGAACATTCCACTTATTGTCCAAAAAGTTACTAGAGGAGCTCTACGGAGCAGAACAGCCAGACTCACCCAGAACTCATCTAAAGGATATTGAGAACAATGTCCTAAAATCACTCTGCACTGACTCCAAAAGGCTGTCACTGTTGAACATGATGCAGGGCCTAGAACGATGCATAGAAATTTAAGAACCATAAGTCCACTCCAGGCCGTGGAGCAACAAAGCTGAATTAGTGCAGCGCTGTGCTTCAGTTATTGTGCAGTAGCAGGAGTCAGAGCTCATTAGTTCAGGAACTATGCTAAGCTCATTTGTACACACACTGTCTTGAAAACTGAGCTGCTAAATCCTGTGAAATGCTGAACTGTATTTGTGAACCTACTAGATCAGACTGCAACTCTGCACTTTATGCCCCTTCTCAGTAATTGGATGTCCCCTTTGATCTCAGCCAAGGTCTGAGGAAGTGCAAAACAACTCTCCCATCTAAGCATCACATAGACAGTTGTACCTCAGAAAACAACCTGACCTTTTATCCCTATTCATACAAAAGCTCCATATAAAAACTTTCTACTAATACAAAGTATGTGACTACAAGAAGTCTCTTTTTTTTGGTCTTTTTTTTGCGCCACAGAGTTACTTGAAATAATCTCTCAAAGAAGACTATCAGACTAAAGTATAGCCTTTCGAAAAATATGAGACATTTTTAATACAGTGGCTGAGTGTGCAGGGGTATGTGCAGGTATTACTGTACAGATCTTCTGTGATGAGTGCCTTTTATAGATGTTTCACATTCCCTTGCGTGATCTGAATCCGTATCTGCTTTATCTTGGCACAAATCAAGAGAACTAAGCTCTTTGGTGCTTAGTTACATTGACAGTCAGCTAAGAACTGTTCTCATTTATGACAGTCTTCGAGTACTGACTATATGTCACTTTTACAGGTCTGAGCAGCCCCAAATCTCCAAGATGCTGCAGTAGCTGTCTTCCCAGAGCTACTTTTTGTTTATATGGGTGCTACGGTCACATAACACTTAAGAAAGTCTATCCTACTGGGATGTCACGTTCTCTATAACACTACTGTGTCACATCTTACACAACGATCAAACTGGGTACTTGAGTGAAAAGATAAGGCATATAAATATTGCTCATACAAGTGCTAGAACAATAAAGATGAAGTGCAATCTGCCAGAGGCTCTCTTCAAAAAGAAAAGATAATTAAATGCCCACTCAGAATTGTGCTTCTGGATTTGAAAAGCTAAATCACCTCCCCTACTGACCTTTACTCACAAATCCTGAGAATCTTTGTAAGCATGGACCCACACATTTGCTTGATAGTTCACTATGTCTCTGGTGACTTTATCTAGGTTGTGAGTCACTGATGTTCTTGGAAACAGTCATCTGAAGTGTCTTGAGCAGGACAGCTTTAGTCTAAAAGCAATACAGGCCACTTTCACTATGCACACCTACCAGTTTGGCTCTGCTAGAACATCTCTGTATTACATTGCCAATTAAGTTTTCTCTTTTTCCCAATCACATCTTGTGTCACAGGTTGCTAGGTTAGCTTCTCTATTAATGACATTTACCATGTTTCTGCTTTATCCAGCCCCCAGAAAATTGGAAGCTGGTACTACTTAACAAAAAGAGGAGTGAGGAAAGAAGGCACACAATCATATTTCTATGAAATGTGCACTTTTATGAGCCATACACGTAATAAAAGGAGCAAGATCTATGGCTCAACAGAAGTATGGTCATAATAGCATTCCTAATGCTATCTGGTTTAATGAGTTACAATCTAGCCATGAAACAGTTGTGCCTGTGGGTCCACTGAGTCATTATGTCAAGTTGGCTCTATTTTTTCACATCTGTTTCAGTCCAGCAACATATGTATCACACAGATTTACTCCAGTATGCTCTGACACGATTAATTTCTGTGACATAAACCCTGCCATTGCTACCTAGTTTGTAGTGTTCAGGTCTGTACTGCCTGTTCACATAAGAGAAACCATTAACTCCCTGCACTGCAGCACAACTACACTTCAGACCACCTACCCTTCCTGCAAACCAGCTCAGTATTACCATCAGGCAACTACAACTCATCTTCCTGGGCCTGACAGTGAAAATCCCTTCTGTGCTGCAGTAACTGCTCCTAGGCCCCTTGTCAGTGCAAGCCTGTAAGATCCCAGGGATCAAGACAGATCCTCCAGACCCATGGATCACAACTGCTGTGCTCCAGATGAAGGATTCAGAGCAAGAATGCTAGACTAGACTGCTATCATTGGGTTGCCCTGTGTTTTTTCAGAGAAGCTTTCATGGTTTCTTGGACACAACTCCCACCTTTCCCTAAAAATGAAAGAAAAATTATGTCTCAAAGAGAACTCTGGCAGTCATCCTTTCAAATTTAAATACCATTCTCCATTCACAATTCCCTGTCTGATTAGTCAGGATGACTCTCTAACCCTGAAACAAAACACAAAATTTGTATCTGTCCTGTCATTAGCACAAAATATTAACCTAGCCAGATCATCTAAAGCAGCAACAAAACAGTACTGTGTGAAATTAGGAATAAATAACACAATGATTTATGTAAATTATGCTAGACACAGTAGGATATTCCCCTTTTCCTTTGGTGCCAAACAGTTAATCTTCCCTCCCTGCTTTGATGTTTCTGTTCAGAGGATTAAACATATTAATATACAAGTCTGTTGAAAACATTTAGAGTCCTTTCAGTTATTTTAGTTTTAAATAAGTAAAGGCTTGACAGAAGACCAAAAATAAAGCCAGTGGAATAACAAGATTTTCCTACAGTAAAAATAATGAACTGCAGAATTTCTCGGGGGGGGGGGGGGGGGGGGGGGGGGGGGGAGAAGAAGGAAGCTACATTTCCAGAAAAATCATGACGTTCCTAATGAAAACAGACTTCTGTTTTGTGGCATTAGAAGTAATGAAGTTACTTTTCAAATGAAAGGATATCCAATTTACCATATGAGGGATTTATATTAGTAACATCACATTCTCTACAACATGAATACATCACATATGGATTGTAAGACCTTTTTAAGGTGTTGGATGATTAGTCGGCAACTCAAGAACAGTCACTTGCTGAGCCAGCTTAAGGTAATATGAGCACTCCAGGGTCCCATGTCAGGGCATAACCTGATCATCTACAGAGGTTAGAAAGGAATGTTCTTCATGCGTGTAGTCCTGACTAGCTGGCTCTGTTTATCAGGGATCATGATGCTTGCTTTTTAACCTTTTCCTTGAATACTTAATCAGCATTTCTAGATTAGGTATACAACAGAACTGACCCTGTATACTAAATCCTATTCTCTTTTCTTTTTTTTGTATCATATGCTGCTTTGGTGAAAAAGAAAATGGTCCCATTATATACTTCAATATGCAGATGTCTTCCAAGGTAATTTCATTTACATTAAATGTTTTGCTTCCAATTTATTTTTATCATCCACCAGACACTGTAAATGAGCATGTTATACAAAGTAAAAATACAAGCTTTACACTCAGGCAAATAAGCTCAGCATTATAAAGCTATTCAAATACATAAAAATACAAAATACTTTCTTGGCTATAATTTGTGTGTATATATGCTTCTTATATAATGTAATTAAATTTTACCTACTAGATAACAGGATTTAAGTGCTACCCTTTAAAGCTGTAGGCAGCATTGCTAATATTTTTAAAGCTACCTGTAATACATAAACAAGATACTAAACACTCCTTGGACCAAATCAGATAGTTCAGTAAAAACAAAGTAAACAGACCCTCCTAGCCCCTGTGGCTTCAATATTGCCACTGGTAACCCCCACTAAAAATCCAGCTACTCACAGTCATGGGGTTAAGCAGAAGGGCCAGCTTTGCAATCAGTCCAGGACTGTATATTTTATATGTCTTAGGTCAGGTTCCTCCTTCAGCAATATATGTTAGCATGAGACAGGAAACATTCCCAGACACACTTTGGAATCTGTAGGTCAAAATGAATACTTTACCATCAGTTTAAAAACTTGTAAAGATCTATGAGAAAAGGCTTATCTACAGGCTGTTTATAGAAAGACCAATATAGGATATAAATATAAATATAAATCCACACACATATACATACACACAAAACCACCATATACAATAAACAAATGGTATTTATATAGTGTCTTTTGAATGTTGTGAACAAAATAGCTATGGAAAGATAGAGAAAGAATAATTTTTAAAGTTCTGCTCCAAACAATGCTGAGCTCCCTGACAACAAAGCAGATGTATCAGTGACAAGTTTTCCCTCCTTTATCCTTTTTCCTCAGTAGGACATTTAAATCAAATTATAAACAGAACCTGAAATTAACAAACAGATGCCCTGTTTTGGAAAGAGAAAGTGACCACAACTAATGGTGAATCAATTTTGGTACAGAAAGATGACGATTCTTACAGCCAAGGAAACATTAAAATAGGAAGGAGCCGAATTGAAAAGGCATACTCCTAGACTCCTCTCCCAACAGGTACAGTGGTACTCATACAACAGGGCTAAAATACACTGGAAATGCAACAATACTTATCAGTAACAGTAGTTTTACAAAGGTAAGCTCATAACCACTTATTTGAACAAATAAAAGGTCAAAAGTTTAAGTGTATCAGCATTTTTGGCAACTTGTGTCACCTCACTGTCAATCAGACAGGTTAACTTCCAAATAGACTGATTCATTTAAACTGTATCAGTCAGCTTTTATCTGCTTATTTAGCAGAAGAGTAACTGCATTTTGCAATAACAGAAAATATTGATAGAACTCAGGCAAGAGGGCAGAGGAGGATTTAAGTGAAGCCTGGAGTGGGCTGCATTGAAAGATGTGAATCACTTTAAAAATGCTGGGAATCATTAAGCATTTGATCTCTGAAGGCAGAGCTTGTTAAGTCTTAAGCTATCTCTCATTCATCACAGGATTCAAGGATGAAGCAAAGATAAAAGTGGGCAGACCCATCTGAAGAAAGACACTCCAAGCATGCAAGGGAGTTTTTTGTTTGATGTGACCTCTGTGCAGTTTTCCTCCATGGGGCAAGAAAGGAATGATCTTCCAGGTAGACATGCAAACAATTCCCCTTCTTTCAGAAATAAAACTTCAAAGCCTTACTTGCTTCTACAGAGGCTGAGCTCCTACACCTTCCCTGGTGGGATCCCCCAGCCCATTTCTGTCTCTGCATTACAGTCATGCTGCTCCATCCTCCTCTTTTTCATTAATCCAAGTGGAAACGGCAGCCTACTATGAAGAAAATGAACTTAGCTGATCTGTGCTTGGATACTAGAAGTGGAGAACCTACAAATATAGGGATTTTAAAATACGGACTCAGTTCTGCTTGTGTGGTTAACCCACCACCTCTAGACTGCTCTAATTTGTGATGTGAAATTACGGTAAGAAAGAAACACCATGGACTTCTGGAACAGGCAGAAAACGTATCTATCTTACATTTTTGTCATAGCAAAACCCTCCAGCCAGGTCACTGATAGACTTGATGGGTCTATTTGTCTAATGGGATGTTAAATGTTTATTAATACTTTTGTTTGGATTAACTAAGAACAGTGTCATCAGTATAAGTTTCTCCTCAGCTTCACTTCATGTGAACTTGTCAGATGCCACTTCCTTGGTTCTCACACTCCCTTCACTGTCTCACTATTTTCCCTTTCAAACAGGAACCAACTCTCTCCCAAGATCCAGTTGAACACACCATGTTTGCTAGCATCACATTAATCTTGTATGTGGGTATGTTCTACTTATTTTCTTAGTTCTTACCACCTGTCCTCCCCATGTATAAGTTCTTGGAGTTAGGAACTCTCTGCTACCTTATATTCTTCTGGAAACTTCCACGTATGACATAGCCTCAGATTTTGTAAGAAAACCCCCCCAAACAAACAAAAAAACCCTAATTAAATCCACTTAGTAATGTATAATTGGGTTTGAGCAAATAAAATTGCTTGGACTATGTTCACCTGCCTAAACACATAAAATTGTCTTACTATCTTTCTTTACCTATTTGATCCCTACACCCCACCCTTCTACATTCTATTCCAAAATTCAAATACCTTTCAATTACTAAAATATTTTATTAAAAATATACCAGCATGCAAAACGTTCACAGGCTATTTTTCTAAATTAGCATTCATGTCGTTTTAATAACCAGTCATGAGTAAAGCAAACAAGCTCCTAAAATAAGATATTTTCTTTTCAATACTAGGCTTAACACTTCACTAATTCAGTTAATGTGTTGTGATAGGTGTTGTAGGTTCATATTACCATCTTGTACATCTGCATTTAAATCTTATAGTGCAGTGTAAATGGACCTTCACAACATTGTCTTCCACCTCTTGGCAACAGGTAAAAGGTGCAATTTGTAAAACAGCTTTTTACAAAGAAAGAAATGGCCTGATAAAATCAGAAATTTAAAGAATGACTGTGCAAATGGAAGTCAGTGGAAATTTTACTTCTCAGAAATAAGTTTGAGCTTGCATCAGAGAAATACATAATAAGAACTTTGAGGAAAAAGTATCAGAATTATCTTTATCCTAAGTGAAAATGGTAGTTTTCTCTTTGGTTCCACAGGATAGTTCATTCTAAAACAGTTAACATAATTTGAAGGCTGCTAGAGACTTTGCAGGGGTAGATCAGTAAGATTTCACTGAAACCAAGAAAGTTACAGTTGGTGTAATCCAGCTTTATATGCCACTTGATACCTTCTTGAAGCCATTTCAGGAACCATGCTTCTGAATTTCAGAGAAGAAACAACATAGGCCAAATTCTGTTGCTGGCATTATTCTATTATTTCTCACTCCTACTTACAGCTGAGAATGACAGTAATTATACAATCACAATAAAAGATGGAACTCATACTGTAAGGCAGCATAGAGGACCACATACTGACAGACAAGGAGTACTAGGAAACAGTTTCATCCCATTAATTACAGTGCACCAGTCCTTACTGTGGGCTTTTTTTTTTTTTTTTTTCTTCTTTGTGGACAAAAGTGGCTTAAGTTTGAATATGAAGAACAAAGGAGATCATGGAAGAAAGTACACCAGTGCTTATTATAAATTTCAACATATGGGCAAATGAAGTCAGCATGAGAAACAGAACTTTAATCCTGACATGGAAAGTCAGATGTCAGACAAATGACAGGCATCTGTCAGCTTGTGGAGGTGGGACCCACTCACGCTTTGAATATCAGTCTTCTGTTCTTGACTGTATAATATACAGAACTTGGCATCCTTCCTCCCTTCCACACAAAGCTAGTGAAGTAAAGCTGAAGGCCCTTGAAAAATGAAGTAACTTTGGCGTGTGTAATGCTGGTAGATTCTGCCTGAAGTCCTTCTTGATTTTATTTTTACTTTCTATTTTAAATGCCAGTCTTCTGGATTTAGTCTTGAACTTGGCCAGCTTGACTAATTGGATAAAAAAAGAACAGTTTTGAAGTTCATGATCACATGAATTATTAAAAGTGAATGACAACCTGTCAATGCAAACTTATTTTCTATATCCACAAACCAGAAAACTTTTCGTTAGGATGATGGTGTGCTTCCACTGCAAAGCAAACTCTCTTCTCATAATCTACAGGATAGACTATCATGACCAGTACACCTACCAGATACCTAAATTGTAAGGTGAATTATTACCACCTGCTCTCAAGAGGTAGGCACTTACTCATACCTGCCAGATAGAACTGACAGCTGGCAATTCAACACCCCATGAAGGCCTTCTGCAACTAGACTATAAACACGCATATTCTGGCTTCTTGTTCCCATTCCATTCAAACCAAACACCTCGGTCTCCCACTGCCCACCCTGGCTGGCTTTAGAACTTAGCCTTTGTTCCTGGCCCAGTTCGGACTGCTTAATACACACCCCCATGGTATTTTTCATATTTATATATTTCATCAAAGCAAATATTAACTACATTGGTTTAGCCAAAGACCTTGCTTCCCGTTTGTTCAATGGCAGCAACAAATGTCCTGTCCGGAAATATTATTACCCAGAATAAGAGAGAAATAAAGCACCTTTTTTCTAGAAAAAAAAAAGAAAAGGTGCCTACTTTTCTTGCTTTGGCTGTGTCACATCAAGCAAAAGAAATCACACATTTCTATGTCACAGACTCCATTCTTTTGATTACCAAATTTGTATACTCATTCCATCAATAAGGGAAGACAAGATTAATAAATAATACAGTAAGTGTAGATACTGGGGCACTGAATGTTCAGTACAGTCGAGGGTTTTTTCTTAAGTCAGTCTGCACCTAAACAAGAGCTAGCATGCCTAACTACTTCAAATAAATGAAGCAATAGCTCTTTTAATTTGAAAAGTTTGGCAACAAATCGAGTTTTACTTGTCAGTAAGTGCAACCAGGTATAAATCTTATCAGTCCAGTATAATTTTTAGTAGGAACTTCAGCAACTACTAAAGTTGCTACTACACACAAAAAAACAAAAACAAAAAGCAACAAACCAAACCAAACAACAACAACAAAAAACAATAAAAAAGGGTTATTCAAACAAATTATAAAATGAACCATTCTTGAAAGTGTTCTGCTCCAGTAGGAGAGAAAGACATACCTGTGAGAAGTCAAAGTAGAGCTAATGGAGGAATGCATCTGGGAGAAAATGCTTACTGCAGAATACTTAAAAAGCCCACAACTTAAAAAAGAAGTATTCAAATACACTATTTACAGTAATACACAGAAAGTTAACTAGCCAGGATACACCCAGGAGAACATTCGTTTTCTGTCTCAAAGGAGTCTTGAAATACCATGAGTTTTAAGACAGCTCCTGTCAGATATGCCCATATCCCCACTCATATCATCAAGCTCCAAAGATTAACGAATAAGACTCAGAACATTTTAACTCTGAAATTTACTTGCCTAATGCATATGGGTAAGATGCCAAGATCGTCTGATTAAGCTACATTACTTCAACTGCTATGTGTATCACTGGAAAGGGAAACAGG